AGGTTTTTATTTTCTTCATGTTTGAAGATGGCGCTTTTTGGCCACAAACTGGCTCATTGCGCCCTTACATTAATCTTACATTAACTCAGTCTTCTCGTAGCGCCTCCACCAGTCTGTTTCCCCTAACATTTCATTCCCGCTCTCATTCAAACCATTCAATCTGCACTCGGTCACCCCTTCGCATTCTCTTTCCCGTTCTTTATCACTCCATCTCCTGCATCTTTTACTTACTACATCGTGTATACAAAACTTACAAACTACATATCTCGCATATAAAATATAATACCTCTGTATAAAATATTTCGGAATCTTCTCAACAACACCCATACAATATGTACTGAGCAAATACATATATATACACATATATATATCTCCGTTTCTGTACACTATTTGCACTTCATACATTGCATATCGTCCCTGATATAACATTTGTCATAATTTCACTCCACATTTTTTAATGAAAGCCCCCATCAGTCTCAAAGGTTTCGGTTCTCCCCATTCTTTGGTTTCATAAAAGTCACAACCTTCCACAATCCCGCATCCTCTCATTCTCCCAATCATTTCCCTTCTTTCCTCTCTATATTTCTCACACTCCCATAAAAGATGTTCCACATCTTCCACTCTATCACATACTTCGCAGTACGGATCATCTACCATAAATTTCCTAAATAGCGACCATCTTAAATTATAATGATTCGCTCTAATTCTGTTAAGGCTACGCACCGTATCTCTTCTCAAATCTCCCAAACCCCTGAACCATGGGAAGTCCTTCCCCACATTATTCCATTTAGACTCGAAGTACTTTCTTCCCTTAAACTCCCCCTGTCTCAATTGTCTTTCTCTTGACCTCTCCCAACCCTTCTCTCTGACTATCCTTCTAAAATCCTTCAACGTGAACTTCACCCAATAATCTGGATCTCCCCTCGTTGCTTCCTTCGCCACCTTATCAGCTCTTTCATTCCCCTCTATACCCTTATGTGCTGGGATCCATGCTACTGCTAATTTCCCTACTCTCCCCCCTCTTTTTTCTACTTCTGCATTTCTTCTCTTAATATTGTTCCGGATCATATCCACCACGTCCCCCTCATCCTGTCCTCTTTCATCTTTTGCCAGCTTGACTATAGTGCTTAGGGAGTCCGACAACACTATTACATTTTCCCTTTCATATCTCTCATTCGCCCTCTCTATCGCCCTTCCTATTGCCGTCATTTCAATTGTATAAACCGAACATTGCCCTGGTGCAGTAAACATTTCCTCCTCCCACTCATCTCTTCCCCTCCTTACCACTATCGCTCCTCCCCCCTTTTTCCTAACTTCCATCCTCGATCCGTCAGTATATATTTCAATTACATTCTCTAACCCTCCAAACATCTTCAACTTTATTTCCCCTAACAAGTCTATTTCATTTATTCCTCCCCTCTCAAACACCTTACCGGTCTCCATCTCCAAACACTTCTCCATTCTATATCCTCTCCATTCCCCCTCGTACTCCCCTCTAACTCTTCTGCTCATTCCTACTCTAACTCCCTCAAATCTTCTCCACGCATCTACCACCATGTCTCTTCCCTCCTCTATCTCTTCTACCCTATCATTCCTTATCCTATTCTCGATTGCCCCTAGTACTTCTGTGTCATTCATCCAATACTTCCTTGCAATGTACCACTCTGACAATGTCTCTAGTCTCGCCTTTAAATCCATTATACCCGCCTCCGTTTCCATGACATTAATTGGGGTCGACATCCTGTACCCCATCGCTATTCTTATTCCCGCATTATGTATCTTTTGTACTTTCTCTCTATTCTTCCTATTGTTCATATAAAATTGAGCTCCATATTCAATCACAGATCTTATTAAGGCACAGAAAGCTTTTAGCATCGTGTCCGGCCCTACCCCCTTTCTTATACCTCCCATACACTTCAATATATTCATCCTCTTTCTTAACTTTGTAACTACGTAATCTGCATGTTTTCTAAACTCTAACCCCCCATCTATCCACATTCCTAGGAATTTTGCCACTTCTACCTTCTCTATCCTTTCCCCTTCCACAAAAAATTCCTCTCTTCCCATCCTACCTCGACTTTTCTTCCCGTTGAATCTCACTATTTGCGTCTTTTCTGCCGCAATGGTCATCCCTATTTCCTCTAAGTTCCTCTTTAGTCTCACTAAAGCTTCCTCCATCTTCTCCTTTCCCTCTCTCTTACCCTCGCATTCCACAAATATCGCAATATCATCCGCGTATTGTAGAATTCTTACTCCTCTTTCTCTCAGCCCCCCCACAATTCCAACCGTATACAAGTTATATAACAGCGGGCTAAGCACCGATCCTTGCGGTAGCCCTTTTAACAACTCCATCTCCATTGCTCCTCCACCCAGCGTTCTTATCACTATTTTCCTCTTCTCAAGCCATTCCCCAATATACTTTCTTATTCTCCCTGGGCAGTTCAGCTCCCTCAATCTTCTTGTCATCTCTTCATGTCTCACGTTATCGTACGCTGCCTTTACGTCAACAAACGCTGCCACCACTTTCTTTCCCTTTCCCCAGCTTTCCCTGATTCCATTTACCAGTATACTGATATTGTCCATCGTTGATCTACCCTTCCTAAAACCATTCTGATTATTATCCATTTTCTTTTCCTCCTCCGCCCAAATTCTTAACCTCTCATTTACCATTTTTTCCATTAGTTTACCTATACAATTCATCAATGATATAGGACGTAAAGCCCTCTTCTGTGGCTTTGGTATAAACTTCACTATTGCTTTTTTCCAACTTGCCGGTACTGCCCTCCCCCTCCAAACCTCATTATACATACTCAGAATTGCTTCCTTCCATCCTCCCGTGCACCATTTCAATACATCATATCCTATTCCATCTTCTCCCGGCGCTGACTTCCCCTTCACATTTCTCAGCGCCCATTCCAACTCCTCCATTTCCAAGTCTCTTGTAATCCATCTCTCCTCCTCTTCTTCTCCTTCTTCTTCCTCTGTCTCATTCGTTGTCCTGGTATTCTCCTCATTCCTCTCTTCTCCTATCATCTCCCCTCCATCCTCTTCTCTCTCCTCGCACCTACGACAATACTCAGATTCCACTAGTTTTCTTACCTCTTCCTCTTCCATCTTTTGTACTTCCCACATTCCCATGTTACATTGCTCCTCTGTCATCACCCCTTTCGTTAAGCTTCTTATCTTCTTCCACATTTCTCCTATGTTTCCTTTGTGCCTGATACCACTGATAAACTCCTCCCACGCCTCCCTTTTTTTCTTTTTAATCGTATTCTTCATTCTTCCTCTTACCTCTATTAATTTATTCCAGTTCTCCTCCGACGGTCTCCTACCTATTTCCTTAGTCGCCTTTCTCCTTTCTTCTTTCAGTTCCTCACATTCGTTATCCCACCACGGCTGTCTCTTCACTCTCTTCTTCCTGTTATTTACCCTATTAGACCCCGTTCCAACTCTCACTCCCCCAGCACCTTTACTCCCTCCCTCTTTCCTGTAGCATCTCTCTATTCCCTCACCCAGCATCCTGACCATTTCCTCACACTTTACCTCCGTTTTCCTATCCGATCTTACAATCCCCAGCACTTCTTCTTCACTCCTAATCATCCATTTCAGGAACTCTACCTTGTCTATCTTTTCCACCCTATACCTCCTATTACTCATTCTTTCCTCCACTATTCCTAACTCCTCATCTAATCTAAACTCAATTACTTGGTGGTCAGATCCCAATGTCTCCCCCGTCTCTCTTGCTTGTATATCCAGCGCTATGTCTGCCGGCGCTATTATCAAATCCAGATTTGAAGCCACCTGGTCCGGCCTACCTATTCTCGACAAAGTCCCAAAATTAACCACCACCATCTCCTCTTCGTCCAATACCTCCTCCAACATTTCTCCAACTATATCTCCATTCTCGCAATTCCAACTTCTGCTTTTCGCATTAAAATCCCCCACAAATATCCTCTTTACATCTCTCCTTCCATTCCTCAATAGTCTTCTACAGTCCTCCCTGTTCACTCCTATTCCCGGTCTCCTATATACCAAAACTATTTCTAAGCCTCCCTTCTCCGTCTCCACCTCTACATACATGTTCTCCCATTTATTGTCATTCTCCAAGTACACCCCCGTCTTCCTTACTTTAATATTGTCCTTCACCATTATGCATAGCCCCCCCC